CCTGCTCCTAATGCTGCTAATGCTGCTGCTACTCCTACTACTACTACTACTAATAAAAATGATGACTACTAACTACTAACTACTAACTACTAACTACTAACTACTAACTACTAACTACTAACTACTAACTACTTACTACTTACTACTTACTATTACTACTACTACTACTACGACGATGACTACGATGACTACGACTACGACGACGACGACTACTGTACTACTACTGCCATCTCGGCGTAGGAGGGTTTGCTTTTGAAGTACTGTGTGGCGTGTGCGCGCTAGGTGTGGAGATATTGTTCGGGGTGTCCGCGAAACAGTGTCGTGATCATCTCCCGATAAAGCTTCCCCCCACCGAATTTCGAGTTTTCGCCGAAAGCCCTCCGAAATCCCAAAGTCGAGTTCGCAAAGTCCAGAAGTAGGTTTGATGACTATGCAAGAGGGTCCGACATCACGAAAGTACTGTAAATACCGAACAAAACGGCTCTCGTGGAAATATTGTTCGGGGTGTTTGTGCAACAATGTCGTCATCGTATCTCCCCCCACCCCCCAATCCGAAGCCCAATTTTTCCAAAAAATCCAGGAGTGGGTTTTGAGGCAAAAAGAAGTGGTATGACACGGCGAAAGTACCGGAAATACCGAGTAAAACGGATGTGCTCTTAAGAGGGTTTGTAGCAGAGGCAGTTGGTAGGGGGAGCGCCTACTACTCCTCCTACTACTCCTCCTACTACTACTACTACTACTACTACTGCTACTACTACTACTACTACTACTACTCCTACTGCTCCTGCTCCTGCTCCTACTCCTACTCCTACGCCTACTCCTACTCCTACTCCTACTACACAGCACCATGCCTTGGCGAGACTGTCGTTGCATTATCGCGGCTTACACTGTAGGCCCCTTTCTGCACATGACGGCAGCCCAGAGAGCACATCTCGAGGATGCTGGATTTGTCCCGCCTGAGGAGCTTCCACAGTCAGGGCTTCCATCGGTGGAGCCGGGACAGCATAGGATTGAGAGGTTTTTGCAACAAGTGCCATCAGGTGCAGCTGCTAAGCAGTCTGTATCATGAGCTGCTGAGCTTCTTGAGCGTTTGGGTCATTCGAAACTTCCTTTGCTGCGCACAGGGACTCGCATGCTGTATGGAGCGCCAAACAAGACGCTCCCCTGCTCTGCCCTTTGACCTAGCATTACATTGTGCAGTGCCTGCTTTCCCAGGTCATGGCCAGCCGACGCTTTGCCACCTCCACGCCTGGAGGTGCCGAGGAGTCAGCAGACTCTGTGCGGCCGATGGGAGGTAGTCGCCGTTGTCAGGTGCGTGGCTGCAATAGGGAGTACCGACGCACTCGACATGCTCATTGCTGCTCCTTCTGCACATTTGGCCGGCACTCTACGCGCTGCAACAATGAATGGAATCGGTTCTGCCGTCGACGGGATCGAGCACGTCGGGATGCTCTGAGAGGTTCCCTCACCATTTGTGACAATCCATTCTGCAGACGGGTAGCTGGACTATGCCATACCAGGTGCTGTTCACTTTGCTCCAATAGCCAAGGTCAGGAACACACGGGCAGCTGCAATGAGCGCCAGGGCTTTGTGTACGTTAATGGTGGTAGCACTGTTACTGGCGAAGGCAACGGTCCTCACCTTTCGGACCCAACCGGATCATCCACTGTGGTAGGCGCGGATGGCACACCATGGTGCACTGGCGCCCCCACTGCTGCTCACGATGCTCCGGAACCTGTTTCTGGTCGCCCCGGCTCGAGCACGGACACCAGCACTGGTCAGATTGCGGAGGCGGTAATGGGAATGGGAATGGGAACCCATACGATCTTCATTCTCGACTCGGATGAGGAAGCTGACATAGCAAGGGCGATTGCTGCCAGCCTTGAGGAGCCCACAGTCGATGCTAGTATGAACGAGTTTTGCTTGGAGGAGATGGATTAGGTCGCATTTTTATGAATATAGCCGCGCCAACAGAGCAGCGGCTATAGGGCTTTTGCTCGCGGGGAGCACCAAACGGTGTTGCTGTCTTGATCAGCCGGAGGTAATACCTCTGTCCCTCCCTCGTCATGCACTCGGATCTTGTGCGACGGTGCAGTGCAGTACTACTACTGCTACTGCTACTGCTACTACTGCTACTGCTACTGTTACTACCGCTGTACCACCATTACTGCCACCAGCACCACGGACCCACTCACTCTATCACAGCTACGACTATGTGCCATGATGATGGCGATGGCGTCAGGCTGCTACGACTACCACCACCACCAACAACCAGTTACACAAAGACTGCAAGCATCAATGACGTGGTACACAGTAAGTGGCTGCAACAGTACATCAGGTCAGAACTAAACCGGCATGAGTCTGCCGTTGCATCGTTCAGCTTGAGTTCACAGCAGACAGGTAGACCTTCAAACAAGATTTTTTAAGCAGAACCGCGAGCCGTCGATTGGACCATCAGTGCTGCCAATGAAACTCCTATCAAGTAAGTCAGTAATATCCTCCTTTTTGCCTTGCACTGTGCCCCTTGCTAGGGATTCTCCGCCACCTCGTGGAACAGCTTCGGTCACCGATCACGCCTGTGCACGCTCAGCGTGTGGCAAGGGTGCTGCAGGCAGGAACCATTTCCAGGGTGTAGGGTTTTGGGGCTTGAGTTCGCCCCAGGTTTTCCAGAACGCCCGATAGACCGCAGTGCTGGAACGGGAATGATCTGCACAACTCGATGAAGCCACTGGCCCTGAAAGGCTTTGGCACGGTTCAAACGGACCGAAATGGAACTGGAGCTCTCGCAAGAGAGTGGGCAGGAGCTGCTGAAGCTCGGCCAATAACAGAAGTAGAATCAACGGGTTCTGGCTGCAAGACTTGACTCGGCACTGCTTTCCAACATGCTGCGACCGTGAATCTGGAACTTGCTCGCAGATTCTGCGGTCGCTGGAAGCTAGATACCACATCTTCCACATGCTCCCTGCGCGATCGGAACAGCGGAAGAGCGGCGAACCGGCAGTTTTCGTCAGGAGACCCAGAAATGCAGAGCCACCTAAAATGCTAGGCAAGAACTAGCTGATGGAGATGCTTCATGCCATTTTCCTTTATGTGACGCTCGTGTAGGGATGCCCCACATCTGAAGAGTGGCATCCAACAAAAGCAAAGAGGTTCTTCATGATGTGCTGGCACGGACTGGGACGCCAGTTTGCGTACCTGCCGAGGCCGGCCCTGGCCAACCCAAACCTACCTCAAAGTCAAAGCCAGCAAAACTGTGCCGACTCACAGCGAGCCGATGCCGCAGAGAGCTATCGGCAGAAGAACAGTTCTGGGACTCAGGGTGGCACTGCGGGCACATCCCATCTCAGGTTGGCGGCTTTGCAGGGCGAACATGACCGGCATCCGGCACTGCAGAAGGCCGGCGTTGTCCAAGTCTGTGGGATTAGGTTGAGACTTGGTGGAGGCATTCCCTGTGGAAATGTTTAAGGCCAGGCCGTGAAGCGCCTGCGGGCAAATAGATGGGATCTCTAACTGTTGCCGATCCTCGCCTGTGAGAGAGAGCCCTGCATTCCCCCAGCAGGCACCACCGCGGCCTCCTGCAGGTGCGGCAAGTTTCTTTGCAATGTTCTGCGGGTGTAACATTGAATCGCATCACATCACTGGTGTTTGAGAAATTATGCAACACGGATACACGTAGCCCAACCGTTGCTTTCGGCCCTCGAGAAATAATTCCTTCACTCCTAGCGCAGGTCAGACAGTGCTCCCGATCTTATCCAAGCTGTCCCTCGGCTTCCAGCATGAAGTGGTTTACTTTCACGTAGCTGCTGATTACTCACCCATGTTGCATCTGATCGATCCGACGCCACCTGCAATGCCGTCGCCATCAATCAACCTGCGCCCAGGAAGTCAGGAAGGAACCTGCTCCCCACGGAGACTATCATCCGCACCCCGCGAAAGCTTCCAGCTGGGGTGGCTCCGCTGCCTCCACTGCATTGTTTCTATTGATCTGTGGTTCGTCGATCCCGGCCACGGGCTGGATCATACGATTGAATAGTGCTTTTGTTGTGTGCAAGAGGCTCAGAGGACCAATCGGAGCAGTCGCTTGGTCCCGGCGTGCCGATAGAGGCCCTGACCGATGCAGGGAATTGCCACGCCCAAAGTGCCATCATCAACTGTCATACATGAATAATGTACAAGGCGCAAATGACGAAGGCGAAACTGACCTGTTTCGGCCATAGAATCGCGACAGCATGGTCTGCGAATTTGCGGCTCGTGTTGCGGGCGCCCAAGGTGCCTTTCAAACTTAGTTTTCTTCTTGAGGCCATTGCACAGCGTCATGTAGAAAACTTATCTGCAAATCAGACACGTGGTTGATTCTTTCGCACACTACCCCCCCGCCGTGGGATGTGCCTCTCGTTTTGCCTTTAGACAGATCTCATGCCAAGTGGCTAGCACCGAGCGTAGTCAGAGTGAAGTGAACTCAAATCCTCCGGAGCTGACTCCGATGGGCAGTAGTTGGAACCGTGACAGAAACTAGTTCGCAGGTTGTCTCGCAAGGCATGCTGCGTCCCGTCACAGCACCAGCTAGTCCTCAGTTTACCCGTACCTCTGAACTGAACCGCTCGCAGCGAAGTCAAGATTGCTCTCAGCGCAACGGCGCTGGTTGGAAGTGGGCTTACGATCCCCCTGTAGATTCGTGTCCATCCAACCGGCCTCCCTTTTGTGCTGGCCTTTTGCGGGGGTCGGAAGGAAACCTTTCCGCTTTGACATCCTGAGCAAAGCTCGCGACGAGTGTCGGCTCGGATTTCCACCCGGCTCACCAAACAGGTTGAAGCAGCAAGGAAAACCCTTGCAACTTGCAACCGGGGTTATGAAGCCCGTCCTCTTGAGGATATCGTCGAACATTTTCGGCCAAGTTTCCCAAGCGATGCCCTGGGCCGAAGGGGCCCAAGGTAACCGCCGGGAAGTATTTGTGTTTATCAAGCTGCTCCTGGAGGGAATCAGCTCCTGGAACCCTCGCGTCAAGTCTCAGGGCGCGGAGTTGCTACTCGCTACTTGTGTCAGCATGATGAAGGTCTACAACCTGCTACAACTATACTGCGAAGCCCTCGGCGCCTTGGCACCACGCAACCTGGCCTGGCTGAGCTTCGGTCACTTGGTGGCCGACCTGCCGGCATAGCTCTTCGTCGAAACTTTCGATGCTGCCGCACGAGTTGGGAAGAGCCGGCGGCTGCACAGCCCGGAAAGTTTAGCAGGCTTGGAGTCCCGCCGCTTCAGTCGTGCTGTCTTAGCTTGGGAGCTCAATAACGACAGACGACAGAGTCGTTCTGCGTGAAGATGCCCCATGAAGCAGCAGCAACATAATTGCGAGAAAATCAAGAACACGTTGGTTTCCAGTGGGCCGAAACTGGGATTGTTACGTCGACACAGAGTCCTTCTTTGTGCAGCAAGGCAATCAAGCTCCGAACATTTCGTATTGCTTTTCACAAAGACGCATTATGGGGAACTTGGGGGCAAAACTAACTGGGGGGGGGGACGAACACCTAATAGTTTCTCTATTTCGTGGTGATCTAGCTGAGGGACTATTTTTTTCTATTTCTGACTATAAAACTCGATTATACTATATGATATTTTTCTAGGTTTGATTATGATATTCTTGCTCGAATTATGTTGCTATTATTGATATTAAAAAGATAAGATATCTCTTGATATTATGATATTGGATATAATTATTTGATATTGGTCGATATATTTCTGATTTGGAAGGGGTTGTTGACCTGGTTTGGCTTCATTTATTCAAACAATCCTTGATTGACTACGTAGGCTCCTCGCAAATGGGGACTAGATGGATCCAATTCCTGTCACAATAGGAATTTTTACAGCACTTAGTGTTTGGCGTGATGTTGTTCGTCTCTATGCCTGGCAGGCAGGTATCTAAGGGAATGGTTGGGTTTTCTTAGATTGTTGCTTGGCTATTGAGCAAATAAGAGTTAGGATAGGTCTTTTACTTGGTCTTTTCTTCGTGATCCTCAACCATAGCATTAGGCAAGGTGGCCGGAAGGGGCTTGTGAATGCTGTGGGTTTCTCTTCTATAGGTGTGGGGTTTAGGACACGACCTTACGGTTGATCGCTGTGTCCTGGGCGACAAGTAGCGAACCAATAGCATCGTTGAGCCAAATTGGGGAGATTTGTGGGCGGTAGCAAAGAAATTCATCTCTAAATCTTCACAGAGTGAATTTCAGCTATTACTGCGCTCGTCGTCATCGAAAGAAGAGGCCTTGCTCCTTCTGGACGCGACTGCTCAGAATAACCTTTTCTTGCTTCAATTCATTGATGACGCCTTCGTGTTGCAATCGACACTATGGGGGCTATTCAAGGTTTGTAGGGCGATGTCTTCGTTTGCTTTCTGTTGACACCACAGATTTGCAGGGGGCAAAAAGGCGGCCTCACTTCTCTGCGTAAGTGAAGCCTGGCCTGCCGAATTGCCACTCCCTGTAGTCGATGGTGAAACCGTCAAAGTGGTTAACCAGTTGGACATTTTGGGCACCCCGCTGGAGACAGACCTCAGCTTGCACTCGCTCCTGGCCGCTTTAGGGAGTCGCCTTAAGGATGCGGCCCTTGATTTAGGGAGAGCTCTTGACACAAAGGGCTTGGGGATTTCGTGGCACGCTGAACAGTTCCCTCTGAGGGCGGAAAGCGCGGCTTTTTTGGTTGCGAGCTTTTAGCTGCCGGTGCTGAAGGATGGCCTCTCATTAGCCGTAAGCTGAAGCAGATGCATTATCAATCCGTCAAGGTTGTTCTGGGTATCTCGGTGTGGTGAAGGAGGTTACGTTCTGGTGCTCTTGTGGTTGGGGTACTCCTGGCGGCTAAGTGCCAAACTCGCGATGAGGATCGCTATGTCGTTGGCTCGTCTTCTTACCCTCCCACCTTCCAACGTCCGGCATTCGACAGTTAGAGCAGCCATGGTAGTCCCTGGGCCTACATGGGTTGATGCAGCTTAAGGTGTGGCGTTGTCGTTAGGTATTTCCAATGTGCCGTCTTGGGAAACCTTACCGAGTGAGGTGAATTCCCCCCGCTGATTAAAGTTCACATCCAGTACTGGAAACGCCATCATGTTGTCCCGGCCATCAAGCATTTGGAAGAGCGTTGGCACGCGGAAGCGTTGTCCAAGTTGGCATGGGCACCACCAACAGACTTGAAAGCCACGGTTAAACTCACACGTTCCGTGCTGTGGACGCCCAGAATGGCGAAAGCTTGCAAGGTCTGGTTTCTGGCAGTCTTGACAGGGCGGAGTTTCTTCGAAGGGTGGTATAGAGGTGCTGAGCACTCTGCTTTGGAAGGACGTTGCTTGTTGTGTGGAGCTCAGCTGGCCAGTCTCACAGTACATCTGGCAGCTGAGTGCCCTGAAGCATTGGAGGTGGCCCGGGCTGCGAGACTCCAACAACAGGAGTTGTTTACGTTGCCTACAGATGCCATCGGTCTTAGGAGCCGCATCAGTGTTGTGGCGACCTTCATCCAGCGATGGCAAGCTCGAGACGGGTAAAACGACGGGGCGCGGCAGGCATTTTCGATGTCTTAATAATGAGCATATACGGACGTGCTGGCCCGGAGACCCCTCGGGGTAGTGGCACTCACGCCGTATTTCTAGGATCCGTTGGAGGATCAGTCCGATCATTGATTGATTGATTGATGATTGATATTCGAGATAAAACGAGATATTATACTGAATATATAGATAAAAACATAATTAGATTTTTTTGAATATATAGAATTTGTAGCGTTGGCCCGACGTACGTGACATCTCTTCTTTTAGAGGAGCAGGATTCTTTGGAGATAGTCGAGTATTGAATTCTTATTAAATTTTAGTTCTGGATAGAATTTTTGACTGTATGAAGAATATTAGTAGTAGCTTGGTTTTCGTCGAAAGAAGGCTAAAGTTACGAACGCTATGCCCAGGGCCAGTGGCCAATCTCAGACAGGCCAGTTGGCAGCTGGAAAAACTGGCCCTTTTTTGCCCTCTGCCTCTGCCTGTGTGAGTTGCTGCATTGCGGCATCACCAATCATCCGAAGGATCTCAACTTGCCTGCATTGGGGCCAAATCAACAAACGTTGCTTACTTGACCTCAACATGACGAGCTAACAGCCCGGCCTGCGCCGCGGCCTGACCCCTGACATGTTCGTTGATGTCCTTGTTCAAGCCTTTTGTCCAGCTGTGGCAAAATGCCAGCACGACAACTTGCGGCTTCCACTCGTCCAGTTCTTCTCTGAAGCTGTTTAGACGATTGCCGTCGCCAATGTTGTAAGTTCGCACATTATAGGGAAATGTGAGGTCTTGGTTGAACTGCTCAGCCGTGATCTTGTCCTCAACAGCAAACCTTCGGTCAGCAAGCAACGGGTTCTCTCTCGCTGTCTCGCCATCTCTTGAACCATGGGTTCCAGTGGCGATCAAGCAATTCGGCTTGTTCAAATGACTTTGTCGCTGACCTGGCGGCTGTTGGTTCAGGAGCTGGCGAACATCCATGTAGTTTATGCGGTCTGTGAACTCACAAACTTTGATGCCGTATTGACGCTCTCCTTGACCGGCAACACATGGCCGCTCTTGGACGACCGCGCCTGTTGGCATGAGCTCCGGCATACATCGTCCTGATTGGAACGTAACCATGTTTCAGCGGCACAGATGCTGCGGGACCCCGCGATTCGTCTGGTTGACAGAACCAAACTCCACAAAAGTGCGTGGACAGACCAAGAACAAATTGTTGCCCAAGTTTACAGGAATGGCAGCATGTCTTGATCAAACTTTATATGTTGGATGTGCTCCCCACCTTCAAGTCCAACACGAACCTAGGTCTGTTCGAGGCTTTAGAAAAACGTGTCGTAAAATATTGCAAATCGATAATGCAAAAAATGCAGGCAAGAAAAAGTGGCAAATAGATTGCACAAAAAAATTAAATTTGAGGCAAACATATTTATTGCAAACACGACACGTAAAGTTCTGGGCGGCGCAG